AAATAAGCAGTTTCAAATAGATTAATTATTTAGCAACTTTAATTTTTTTTACGATTTTATAAAATCTATCTATTGATGACGTACATCAATAAAGAAAATTATTGTATTTGGGGTCTAAAGTCCTTTTTAATTTTAAAATCAATAAAAAAAAACATAAATTTTGGTGCTCAGAGTTTTATTGTTGGTTTTATTTTATTTATTTTAAACTTATTATTGTCGTTATATTTTGTAAGAAAACTAATTAAAAAATTAAAATTAAAAATTATATAAAATATAATATTATGTAATTTTATTGACTGTTTAAGTATATTTTTATACAGAGTGACAGATTTGCAATAAATAATACCAGGAAGATCACGAATACAATTCGGGGGTTTGGTGGGTTTCCCCGGTATGTATTTGAGACTCAATAAGTTTCTTTCTATGTAGTTCTAAGTAGTTTTCAAAAATAATAAACTATTAACACCTATATCTAAAAAAAACTAATTGAATGATTTAATATTTAATTAATTATTAATACTTTGTATATACAGGGTATCCCAGAAATAAGTGCAAGTATTTTAACTGGTAGTATAGTTCAACCCCAGAAACACGCCTATGAGGTGTTTTTCGCAAAAAAAAAATTGAAAATTCGAAATTTTTTGGAATTTTTTTTAGTTTTTAGTTAAAAAAACATAATTTCTTTATAATATGGCAACATAGGTATTAGATTAAATTTACAAGAAAGAAAATCCAGAAAAGATCCAGTGGTTCTCAAAATTTTAGCAAAAAATGTTTTTTTTTGGAAATTTTCAAAGTAAAGTAACTCTGTTATTTTGGACTTATTTGAAAAACGACAAAGAGAAAATATGTTTCTTTTATCGAGATCTACCACCCCTTAAAATACTTGCACATATTTCTGGGAGACCCTGTATATAATAATAAAAATAATTAACACTGTAAAGAGAAGTCAACAAACTTTTTCAACGATGTGCTACATAAGGTAGGTTTTTGCTAAAATAAATAGGGTGGGCTATGTTTTAAGGGTTGAAGGGGGTTGTGATTCAAAAAGTACTTTATGTATTGTTAGGTTCCCCATCAACTTAAAAAAATATAATAAATTATAATAGCTGTTTAACCATAAAAGAAAAACTTATTTTTATTTAAAAATAGTCATAAATATTATAAAAAACATGATTTGACTTATTTCAGAAAACGAACCGATGCCACAATACTTCCTTGTTACAGTTACAACACTGATGTTATTTATTAAGACGTTTTCCATGTATCTAGGCAATGCAAAGGTTGGAAACCTTGTATATAAGATATGCCTCCAAACTGTTCAAATGATACTTAAATAAATTCGCAAACGGTTTAATCTCTATCTTTCTATCCAAATGCCTTAACTTAATCTACATTATGGCAGAACAGAAGAGGGTATACGGGTTTTGCGTTGATTTTTTTTATTTGTTTATGTTAAATCATTGTTAGTCGTAGGCGATGCCCGTGAAATTGTGGGGGTGTAGAAAAGATAAATCCTGAAATACTTCACAAATTACAGGGTGTTGCGTGTAGGCTACCAATGAATCATACCTATACATGTTATATAAACCTATTTTATTTAACCAAGAGAAAAATAATATTTAGATTAATTCTCCCTTAAGACACCTCATCTAATCGTTTTTAATACAAGCCTACCTTTCCCTCCTACTGTCCATTTCTTGAAAACAGATATTTTTTTGTGGCGAAAAATCCAGACTTCTTTCAAGAAACCTACTTTGTGTGCCATATCGTAGAAAAACCCTTAAATGTGAGCTACCGAAGGTTAAAATTTTCATTTTTTTTAAATTTATTATAATTTTCTGCCAAGTGCTTTTAGCGATTCGAATGAAATTTGCAGGGTAAAAGTTACTATAAGTGCTATATCTTTTAATGCTAAAAGTGTCGAGAATTCTCCAGGGACGTGCATATGGGTTATATCTAGAATATTTTTCTAAAAAAAAATGTGCGTATTAACATCCTGTAACAATAAAACTATGCATTTCCGCACCCGTGTTTATAGGAACATTTTTTTCATATATCTTGATAAGGAATCAAAGAGTACTTATTTAACATTTTAATAAGTTAATGACATTAAATTTTAAAACTCGTCAAAGAGACTGAAATCGACACAATATCAACTTCTAATCAGCATTTAACGGTCTACACAATTTTGCTAAAAAGAGAAAAAGTCAGTGGCGCACAATTTTTAGAAAAAAAATCCAGTGATAACCCATATGCACGTCCCTGGTGAGTATGTCGATACTTTTTAGCATTAAAATATGTCGCACTTATAGTAACTTTTACTCTTAAAATTTCATTCGAATCGCTAAAATCACTTGGCGGAAAATTATAATAAATCGAAAAAACATGAATAATTTAACCCCCCACTTACTGTGAAAAATAAATCTTATTTGAATCTCTCCACGAGAGATGGCACATGTTTTTTGAAACACCCTATATAAAACAAAACCTAGGAGTTCTTGGTCCAATTGCCTGTTGGTATCTCCTTAATACGATTTCAAAAAATATTGCTTCTTCATATTATAAAAAATCACAGACTTACTTGTGTATTTATAAATAAAACTTAAGGTGATTAAAAATGCAGGATAAACATCCGTCGAAGATATTATAATGCAAAAACAGTTTTTAATGTATTATAATTGACTTAAGTTAATGAAGAATGACAGGTTTTTAGTAGTTTTTTATTAATATTTTATTCAAATATTTTTTTAACTGAATCTGAGTGGGAATTAGCACGACGCGATAGTATAAAGTGTTTATTATTTATATTTAGGTTTTAAAGTATACTTTTTATACGATAAATTTATTCTATAAGAAGAGACTTAGCTAATTTGTTATTTTAATGCTGCCTTCACTTTATTAAGAAGTATTTTTTATCGAAAACTTTTGATAATGTGTATGAGTGGTGCTTCAAAGCTTACAGCGTGTACGTTTAAAGATTTAAATTATTTATAAAGTCAATTTAATGGCAATAAAAACAGTTTTCTGTATTTCTTTTATTGTTTTTATTAATCAAACTCGTCTATCTTTAGCGTATTATCAATCGGAGTTGGCCGAGCCGACTGCCAGGCTCGAAAACAACCATGACGTTAGATCATATCCATTTTTTTTTCTTTTCTCTTCTTATATAGCTAGACGTCGTATCTGTAAAATTCCCTTTGTCTGAGACAGACAACCAGACAGATCTTCCGTCTCCTTCTGATTAAATCTTATATAGCCGCCATGATTTTAAGATGCTGTAGTGCTGCCCTCACCATACGACCGAAGAAGTTAATTCTTATATTCTCTGTGGTCGCCACACGATCAACATCTCTTCTTGCTGTATTGGCAAGGTTCTCTTTTGTATTTTAAGATCAAATTTTAACAATAGTATCGTTTTATTTCAGACTTATATTATTAAAATTCTTTAACAAATATATATATATATATCTGTAGAATTCATTGAAATGTTTTAATAATCTGTATTTATTATTTTAACAAATATTAAGAATTTGAAAATTTATCCGAATTTATTTTTTTTTCTTTTAAGATGTACCAACTTACATATTAAAAGGTACATATTAATTTAATTTAAAGTATAAACGTGAGTAAAAATATCTGATTTTCTGGTCTTTTGTATCAAAAGTGAACGACTAAGTTTTGAAGGTTGGTCAAAAGAATTATTTGCAAAATTTGCAAGACGTCGAAAAAGTAATGAACCATAGTAACAGCAGTATGAGTTTTGTGGTACAATTTTAGAGTGCTGTATGATTGCACCTGTTGAACGAATTGTAGTAAAAATTGTTCTGATAAAAACTGTTATTTAAAATTGAGTTTGTAAGAAAACTTGATTGCAAAAAGGAGAGATAAAAAAACAATGAGATCAGTGGTACCAAATATATTGTTCTGGTCCTTTGCATACATTAAAAATTAAAGATTATTATTGAAGAGTAGTTTAAAATTATTATTTACAAATACCAATAAAAACCAGAAAGTGGAATTTTAGCTTTGTGGTACCATTTTACAGTATTCTATAGTTGCAGGTATGAGATTTTTGTACAAATAGTTCTAATATTATTTAAAATTGATTTTATATGGAAAAGTACTATAAAGATGGGAGATAAACCAAAACAGTGAGATCAATGGTATCAAGTACTGTCCTTTGCTCGCATTGAAAATGGAATACAAAAGTTTGAAGTAGTTGAAAATTATTATTTACAAATATCATAAAGACCAGAAGATCTAATGATACGAAAATCTGAATTTTAGTTTTGTGGTACCATTTTACAGTACACTATAGTTGCAGGTGGTACAGAAGGTTCTAATATTACTAAAAATTGATTTTGTGTAAAAAAAATGCTGTAAAGAGGGCAGATAAACCAAAACAAAGAGATCAGTGGTACCAAATACTGTCCTTTACTTGCCTTGAAAATCGAAGACAAAAGTTTGAGGAATAGTTGAAAATTATTATTTACAAATATAAAAACCAGAAGATTTTATAACAGAAAAATCGGAATTTTAGTTTTGTAGTACCAATTTACTGTTCTCTATGGTTGCAGGTGTACAGAAAATTCTATTATTAAAAATTTATTTTGTGTGAAAAAGTGCTGTAAAGAGGGGAGATAAACCAAAACAATGAAATAAGTGGTGCCAAATAATGTTTTTTGTTTGCATTGACAATTATTATTTACCAATATCATAAAAACCAGAAGATTTAATGATACAAAAATCGGAATTTTAGATTTGTGGTACCATTTTACAGTACTCTATGGTTGCAGGTGGTACAGAGGGTTCTAATATTATTAAAAATTGATTTTGTGTGAAAAATTGAAAAGTGCTGTAAAGAGGGGAGATAAACAAAAACAATGAGATCGGCGGTACCGAGCACGGTTCCGACGCTGCGAGAGCCGCAAGAGTTAATCAGGGACCGGCGCACCTGCGCGTCATTCTTCGGCCAAACGCGAAGAACCCGCGCCACGAAAAGAACCGAACGCTGCGCACGCCGCCATATACCTGCGATCTCGCTTTGAACCGCAACAACTAACAGTCAGTATAGTATTAGTTCGAAACACCTGTAGACGCTAGTATGTGATTGAATATCGAATGCTGGCCAGCACTGTCCATGCATGCAGCCAGGTACTGGTCAGGTGGTGAGCACGCATCGAGAGTGATCGCGGCAGTGAACGCGCGAGTGCACCAGCCCCCGAGCAAGGGACCCTCCGCTGCTGTGGCCCTAGGTAAACAAACAAACCAACTAATTCGGCTCACTCCGCATGGGTATGTGTTTACACGTAGAACTGTCTTCTTTTGCTTGCTTCTAGCACTACCGGCTGCACCGACTAGCTTGCTTGCACTATCTCGCTTAGAGCGTGCGTATGGCAACGTGCTCGCTCACACCTAGTCGTTTTCGATATTGAATGATTACAATAATACCTGTTATCCCGGAGTCGGCAGACCTGTTCATCAACTATTTCTTAATCTTGAATGGCGGCCGGCAAACAGAATGCCCGACTAGTTTGCCAGACCGGCGTAGTATTTGCAGTCGAAAGAACGGCTCCGCCGCTAATGTGAACCGCATACGTATCCCTCATATACACAGTGGCCCAAAACAGACCCACTGTTCACATAATTATTAACACCATAATATTTCTCTAATTACCTACTATTACTATCTTTCTAAATTAACTACTACCTAAAACATTAGTTCATTTTAAAATATACAATTTAAGGATTTTTCGTTATTACATATCTGTCATATATTCCTGCAACATGTTACTGCTTACATTGAAAACATTCAGTATTTAATTATTAAAGTTCTGCTGCATAGAAACAGATCTTAAGGCAATTTCCCATTTTCAAAAATATAATAATTTATATTTTATGTTTTCTTTAAACGCTGTTCATATTTTAGATTTTAAGATTTTACTACTTCAAAACAGATTTTATTTTTTTATTATGAAATTTACGTATATTGAGAGACTTTTCTGTATGTATTACTAGTATATTCCTAAATTACCCACAATTTACATTTTAAGGCATTAGTAGTTAAATACATAAGCATTTATTACTACTTCAAAACATATTTTAGAAAAATTTCTCGTTGTGAAGTATATAATTTATGTATTTTTCTTTAATTTATACTAGCGATATTCCTGCAACATGCCAGATGTTTTCAACATTACAAGATTTAAAGCATTGGTGTTTGATTATCTAAGTGTGAATTACTTCAAAACATATCTTGAAGCATTTTAAGATTTTCAAATGCGTAGTTTATGTATTTTCATTTTGTGACCTGTTTATGTATTTTTATGTATTTCAAAACTAACCTTAAATTATGTTCTCGGCTTGAAATACATAATTTATGTATTTTTCTTCAGTCGATAGCTATTATATTCCTGCAAAATGTCTATTAAGTACTTAATTATTTAATAATTTACTTCTCTATAACAAATTTTAAAGCATATTTGTATTTTGAAATACATCATTTATGTATTTTCCTAAAATGCATAACTCATATTCCTGCAATACTGCTGTACTGTTTATGTTTATCTAGATTTTAGTTTATGTTTATCTAGTATTTTTATTCTATAACTCATATTAATTACATCTTAAAATATAATTCAAGAATTCATGTACTTTTCTATACTATTTACATTTAATACATTAGATTTTAATTATCTAAGATTTTTTCTGCTTTAAAATTGATCCTAAAATATTTTGATTTCGAAATTTATAATTGATGTATTTATATTTAATGTATAACTAATATATTCCTGCTTGCAGTAGACCGTGTAATTTTTCAAAGCTTTTCCTATTCACTAACAAAATTACAGACATTTCAGCATTACTTTAAATACATATATTATTTATTTCAGGTCATACCTAATATCAGTTCTAGTAAATTATAAGAAAACTTAACCACAAAGTTGTGTTTTTATTTCTTCAAATCAGATCTTAAAATATTTCCAGTTGAAAAATATAATGGACGTATTTATCTTTAGTATATAACTACTATATTCCTGCTGGCAGTAATAGTCTACAAGCAGCAGGATTCAATTAATGCCAATGAGTGTTTGAAAGTATATACAGGATAACAAACATCTATACCTAGCTTTAAATACATATATTATATATTTTACATAATAGCATAATACGAAAATATATTTTTAGAATTTTTTAAAAATGTACTATAAGCTTTAGTACTAATGTACTTAATTTCGTACATTATTGCCAATTTTTGTCGTTTCATAGAAGGTCTCGGCCTTCGATGGCTTTACTTTGTTGTGTCCAGTATGTACCAACGACAACAGACATATAAAACATTGTCACACGCCCAGAATATCTAATTATGAATGTACAGAACGTCCAATGATCTGACTAACCATTCCTGGCCACTGTCCAATCAGAATCTTAAGAATAAATTAAGTGTTAAAAACAAAATGGTTCTTTATTATTGATACTGCATCTTTTATCAAGTAATAATAAAATGTATGGTTTCTCTTCTTTTGCTTAATATTGTCAATGTTAGTAGCTATACGTGTTCAGTAATCCTTTGGGGTTTGGCTTTTCTAATACGCATTGCAATGTATGTCGGTATAATTCTTATTTACTAATATGTTTGATTCTGAATGGGATTTAAAACCTTAGCTTTAGAGAAAAAAATAATCTAAATGTCCTTCGGAATAAATAACAATACACTATTATTACTCTGTTATTAAGTAAAAAAAATAATTACAATCAAGTTACTTATGTTTGTAGTTTGGATTTCGTTCTGTAATATCTGTCTTCTAATCTTTTTATTTTAAATGATCTTGGCGCTGCTAATGTTTCATTGTAAACACTGTCTTTCACTTTTTTTCTTAATGTCAATATTTCGAATGCTTGTGTATTATTTAAATAAAATTACCCAGACTTGGCCTCTCCGACGCATTATTTCCAGAAAAATACTTTAGAACATTAAAAATGTAATTATCGTAATGATATATTAATATAACAAGCCCTAATCATTTTTCGAAAAAAATAATTAAAATCATATTACAAACGCGTTCAATTCAAAGGTTACGTTTTCTATTCATAAAATCTTTTTAATTTACTTTAATTTACTAATCGTAGCTATTTTAGTAGAAGTATGATTTTTTGTATATGTTACAGTAAAAGTCAGAAATCAGTGAATGTTTAAAATTACTAGTAAAAGCTCATATTCTCTAACTTGCTAACACTCGTCAGTAAAAGTCAATAACTAATTTTGACAGAAACTTCTAGCAGCTGCAGGTAATTTAATATCCAGAAATTAAGACCAGAACTGAACAATACAATATCTGACTAAAAACTTGACGTGAATCATTCAATTTTAAAGTCGACACTCAAAGTAATCAGATTCTTATTAAAATTTAAAAAAAATAAAGAATCAGAAAAGAAAGTTTGAAACCAAAGCAATTAAAACTCATTTTAATTTTTTGTTTCTGTTTTGTTGTTGTTTTCTTATAATTTTGAGATCAGTGGATCACCTTAAGGGAAACCAGCAAGGTTTAAGTAGTTTTTTATATATTTTTTTATTAGTAGAAAAAAAAAGCTGTTTCAAGGTGAATAAAAGATGGGGGTTGTAAAGAGTCGTGCTCCTGACCGGTAGACAAGAAACTCGTCTCCAGAGATTCCGGTTCAGGCGTGTTCCGTGAACTTGGGGGTGGGTACGACCGGTTCGTAACTGTTTTTTAATCGCCCAGGGGGGTTACGTTTATGCTAATGATATTTTTGTCTTGACTTCTGACCTAGCAATGTCGATCGGTTCAAGTACCTTCAAGGTTACATCGCGAGCTCGCTGCTTGTAAGTCGCGAGGTTTTCTTAGAAACGTTACGTTATTTCTAATGTTTTTTCTTCGTCCTGTCCCACGCGTTATATATAAATAATTCTTTCAACAGTAATAACTCATTTTGATATAGACTATTTTTCAAAAGAGTCTTAAGAAAGAAATAGTTTTTACTGATTCCAAAAAAAATGTCTACCTACAGTATTTCCCCGGATTGTCTTTACAAGAGGAGAAACTCTTTTATTATTGACGAATGCATTTTTCTCAAAATGTGAAAAAAAATTTCCTTGTTCTAAAATGGTTAAATTCGTTTATATTTTTTAAAATTTCCATACCGTTTTAGAGAAAATAAAAAAAACATGAGAGTATATATAGTTATTGATAGAATTTTAATTAACGTCATATTTTTTTTTGCTTTTTTCGAGTTTTTTTTTAAATGATAAAGAAGCACAAAATTTATTTAGTTAGCTATGGAACGGGCGATAATAGTTACTAGAAAATTAAAAAAACTTTAACAACACCAAAAATATGACGTTAATTAAAATTAATAATAATCATCTATTAAAGAATTAAATTGAAATTATATTACCATAGAAACGCGTTTTAATTTTTAGGACTGAAAAAAATCAACCATATTTTGTTGTTTTTTTTTAATTTTTTCTAAAACGGTATGGAAATGTGGAAAAGTATAAAGGGGATGCATTTTTCTCAAAATGTCAATAAAAACAAGTTTTTTCCCCTTGTAAAGACAATCCGGGAACATACTGTATACCTTTGTTGCGGTCTATTACTATCAATGGGTGTTGTACGTTAAGATATATTTTTTAAAGATACTGTTAATCTTTAAAACAAAAAAGCTAAACCGTTTTCTTTTTTGTTTTCAGAAATAAGCTGCAGCAACCATTTCACCACTAAGCCATATAAGTGCCATAACCATAGACATTAATACGTAATCAAAGTGCAATATTGCCTAAAGTGACATTTTTTCTGTGATATAGACTTGCCATACATATATAAAGAATATAACATGACACGTAGAAGTATCGATAAAAGCTCCTCCACGCACGCATCTCCAATGGGAGAGGAAAACGGCATGATGTCTCCTCCTCCGCCTCAAGCATCTCCAGCCGAACGTTCTCCCATGAGGCTATCCTCGAATTCCCCCACGATGCTGGCTACCATGACACCTGTCAACGTCATGGAGTTAAAGAAGGAGATGGAGGAAGAAAGTGCCATGGGAAGGAACCCAGCTTACGCTCAGGTCAAAACGGAAGTCCTCTACGAAAAGGACGATGGGGAAATATATGCTCAAACCATAACAGATAAAAACGACACACCGATAGATCTGATCTACGAGGACGGGAACAAAACGGTGATATACACGACCACTCCCGATCAGAAAGGGTTGGAAATATATTCGGCTGACAATTCAGGGGAAATAACCATAAACAACATCAGCGCGCATCAGATCCACGCAGGCCAGCAGATAGCGGACGTTCTGATAGACGGGAACGCGGGAACAATGATGACGTCGAACAACGAACCCGTCAACAGCCCACCGGGAACCGTGTCTGTGGTACTGCAAGGGAACGGGCAGGGGTTGCTTCAGTACCCTCAGGCCCAAGTGCCCGGGACGACCGTTTTGGTTCTTTCGGAGCTGGTGGATGACGTAGGGGTGCCAGTTGTGGGACTGACCAGGTAAGATTTTTCGAATTGCACCTGAGTCGAAACGATTAGAACGCAGGACCATTGTGTTATTAATGATGTTTACATTTTTTCGAGGTCCCCGTAGAGGCATTAGTTTGCACAATTTTGGATTTCTCGAACCGTTCAGTGGCGTATCCAATTCGCTTATGTTTGCTTACTTTGCTAAGCGTGACGGTCGGATTATTGGCAGGAAAAATAATACAGCGAAATAAAGCTTGGAATGTGTTGCATTATATTTTAATTCATGACCGTCCATGAATGACATACAGGGTGGTCCGAATTGTATTTGGGTAACTTCGGCAGCATATTCTGCAAATAAAAATAAGTAAAAAAGTTCGTACCTATAAATTTATTTCATATGGTTATATTTAATAAATTTCAGAATACTGAATTTAAAAACAGTAAATTAAGTGATTCAAAGTAATATACCAAAAATTCTTAATAAAGAAAAAGCTTTTTTCTCTTTAATTTTTTTTATTTACAGACTTATTCCTATAGGTCCTTGAGAAAACTATTAAATATGTTTTTATTGTACGAGAGAAGACTTAAAACACACACACACACACCTAATAAAATATTCAGATGTTTGTCGAGTTTTATTCATATTTAAAAGGTTAAAATATTACAAATCTATAAAATCAGAACCTTATTAGTCTTTTGAAATTCCCCGAATTTTTATTTCTACACATTAGCATAGTAATGACACCCGTGTGTTTATTATATGAAAACAAACATTCTCCGACGATGCACGCCACTGACGCCTACCTTACAACGTCACAAAATGTTTTGTTAAAAGATAGAATTGCGCGATTAAAGTATCCACAATAGAACAAAGTTTTATACTGACGTTTTTATTGTTAAATTAATATTTTGTTTACGTCCACGGTGCTACATCTAAAATTATTTATCGCTGTTATGCTAAATTGGCGGTTAGAATTTTTTAAATAAATTGTAGACGTAACCTTGGTTATTAAGCACACCAATTGAAATAATTAAGAAAAAACGTTTGATGTTCCATCACAATGGTGTAATTGTTCTGAAATATGTATTTACAGGTTGTCATCTCCTTTTTTGCAATCTTTAACAAATTAACTCTAATTATCTATGCAGTGGACTCGAAAACTGGTACAGTGTATATTTGGATTTAGCAGAAATGACAGTTGATTGACTATTAGCTGATGCGACTGTGATTTATTCAAAGTTTGTCAGATTGATACACTCAACGGCACGAAAAACGGGCACCTTAAAATATTGATGTATTTTAAAGTTTTATATATTTTGTTCTACCTTGCCGATTTTGATGATTTTTTCAGCAATATCTTGCTAAATTATACTTTTTTGTATCTCTTTCTAAATTGAAAATAAAAGTTCCCAGCTGTCATTTAATACGACGGAAAACAAAATGTTGATATTTTGGTGACGGTTTGAAACACCCTGTGGAGTATGTTAAGACAGCACGGAATTTAAAAATTATTTTATCATCTAGGTACATCCTTGCTCAATAGTCTGTTTTTTTGGTTCATCTCAATAGCTTTATTTTTGTTGGAGATATTCGCTTTTAAAGAAGACACTAACATTTTTTCGTAATTTTTATATTTAAACCGTACTTTTCCTTTTGGCCCTAGTCAACAGACCTAGTAAGTTGTGGTCCCGAAATAGGCCTTCTTGACATATAATTTGCTTAAGATGAACCAAAAAATAAACAATCGAGAAAAGATGTACCTAGATGATTAAATTATTTTCAAATTTCTGGGTTTTTTAACATAGTGTGTTCAAAACATTTACCAAAATGTCAACATTTTAAGACAGATGGGAAATTTAATTTTTATTTTAGAAAGAGATCCTAAAAATTCAAATAATTTAGCTACAAATTGCTTAGAAGATCATCAAAATCGGTCCACTAGAACATAATATACCGTGCTGGCAACTGTTACTCTTGGGTCGGTATTTACATGTGCGAAAGTAAATCGCATAGGGATCTTACTAAGTCGGAGTGAGAGAAATGCGACGGAATGCTGTTGCGGCGTTGCCGGTAAGCCTTTCCCTATCAAGTAAAGTAAAATCACGATCGCAAACCGCTTATTTTTAAAAGACTTTTTTTTCGAAAAGATAACTAGATAAAATCATTAGAAATGTTTCTAAGCATCTGAAATGGAATTATAAGGATATCTTTAAGGTGTCATTTTTTTATAACGAGAAAACGTCAGTAATCGCGATAATTTAAAAACTCAACTTTTTAACACAATACGCCATAACTCAAGACACACTTTAGATATTGAAACTTTTTCTTTTATTTTGAAGATAGGATTTTTTACAATATGTTTACAAATCGAAAAAATCGATAAGGTTGTTTTTTTCCATTCAAAAATTGTAAACAACCCATCTATTTACTTTTAGAGCATAGCAATTTTCAGCAGTCGTGTAATTTTTTTATTGATAAAGATTTTAACTTACTGTCTACGAAGAAAACGCAGCAGAAATATTAAGAAAGTCTTTGAAAAAACTCCAATCAATTATTTTTAATCAATTTCGAGGTATCGATTTTTGAATTCAGAGTTCTAATAGCCCGACCACTGTCGAAAACCAACTCAATTCCACTTATTTTTACCAAAAATGCAAGTGTTTCTAGGTTGCACTTAAAAAATTTCAACGACTGATAACAAATAAAGTATCACGAGTATGTATCATGATGTACACCTTTCCCTAGCACTTTAAGTACTGACAGAGGTACTGATTGGGTCGACCGGTCAACTGCGACAAATCTGCTATATCCCCTTCCACGTCTCTTAGCAATGTGCACAGTTTCTCGATTCATTTCGTACGTTTGGCAACGTGTTTACTGTTCTCTCTTTGTTCAGTACATTATAAACGCATTGTACTCTTTTTACATACGGAAATCTCGACCCAAGACCAATCTTTGCCAGCCATTAGTATAAAACTTTAAAATACATCAAAATTTTAAGGTGCGCGGTTTTTCCTGCCTGCCAAATGTGACAATATAAATAAAAAACTTAATTAAAAGATGAATTTTAACATATCTTCATTTAATAATTTAGACTACTATTTATCAAATAATAAAAAAGTAAAACGTTAGCCTGTACAAAAATTCCAAGGCTGAAGCTCTGTCTGTATTCAATTTTACACTACTGAATATTCGAGGCTTCATATGCCTTAGGCCAAACGATAATTACTGCTAACATAGGTTTATTTACTTAAACCGTTCTTTCGTTTAATGGTCATTTTCTAATAGTTTTCCTAGACGGACGTACAGTGGCGTAGCACGTCTAACTTTTTTCTAACAGCCCGGTATAATGTGTTTTTGTATTTTTTTCTATTCAAAGTACACATCGCACGAACTGTTGAAAACATAGATGTAATTATTTGACTAATAATAGTAGAATATTAATTATTTTAATTATATATACACATACACATAAGGAGATTCTCTGAAAGTATTATGTACGTACATGTGTACATGTTGTAATCAATGGGTGTAATGCATAAGGACGTCAAAAGCTGTAATCAAATAAATAGGAGTCTGTTTGATTGAAATTTAACCTTATTTATTTGAAGTGCTAATTTCTTAATATGATAATGTGTATTTTAAAAATAAAAAAATTAATTTGCAGGGAAAAAAGTTGAGAGTATCGAAAATATATACAGTAGAACTTCTCTAATTCGGACATGGTGCCAAATCGGACAATTTTGATATTTTTACCTCTTCATTCCGGTTAGATGCAGTATGTAGTTTTTTCTTTGTAGTATAGGAATATAATGCAAAAAAATAGGGCCAACTTACCGATTCTTGCTGAAGAAATGCAAAGTATATATTGGTTTGATTTCACAAGGAAGGAAGTATATGTAAAATTTCTGATTCAGTTAATGTTCCCAAATTCAATATATTAGATATAAAAAATCAGAAATAAAATAAGAAGTTTTGTTGTGAAATTATACCAAGTAAAAAAAATTAAACAATGTCAATCAAACAAGGAAAAAACTGCTGTCTCTGGTTTGACTAAAGAGTATAGTTACAATTATGGAGACAAAAAAGGACAAAAACTTAACAACGAGGCATTGAAAACAAAGGAAACTAATGACTACTTAAGTAGATCAGAAGATGACAATGTTTTGTTGAAAATAAGACTCAGCGATGCTGTAAAAAAACTACTGGGTCGAAAAAAACTATGTTTCTACGCAAGATATTTTGCTTTTAAAATGAGCAGAAGGAGATGTTGAGACAGCAAAATCATTCAGTTTTTTTAAGAAACTTGAAATTAAATATTAATTTTACATTTGTTTACTACAAATATTTAATGTGTATTAAAGTGCATATTTACTTAATATGTATTTTGTTAGTAAGTAGTAAGTGAGTTATTTTATGGGTGCATATCAACAGCTACAATATGTACAATAAATTTCATATGATCGAAAAAAACGGCGTCCAGTTGGACCATATAATTTTACATATAAAATGACCGCGATCTTCATTTCATAGCCATCACTGACGGCGTTTTTTTTTCGAACGTATTGTACGATAAAGTTTTAATGTGTTTTATAAAATGTTTGGTGTTTTAGTTTAAATAAAAACAGTTTTTTTTTTAATTTTGAGTTTGGATTGGCAACAATAAAAGTATGAAACAACAAAATTATAAAAATATTACTTCAGTAATCCGGATAATCATTAATTCGGCTGTAGTTGTTCCGATATATGTTCGAATTATCGAAGTTCGACTGTACAAGTTCTTTTATTTCTGTTAGGTCGGTATTATAAATTTGTGTAATAAGTTTTCGAGGGTTATCTCGACTTGAAAAAAGAGAAAAAAATAAATTAGAATTTTTAGTTCGGAATTTGGGTCTAAATGGCCGTCAGGTTCTAATTAAAGTCCGACTTAAAATTTATTTTAGTGCTACTATCAGACTTGAGAGCCCGGCGTTTTTTCATTCTATTTCTTCCCTCTAATGGGATTATCTTGCATTTCGTTGTGACATTT